CCCGCCCCCAGCTCCTGGCCACCGCCATTCCACTTCCTGCCTATGGATGTGAATACTCCAGGCAATCGCACACGATTTGTCTTTTTGTGACTGGCTTATTTCACTCAGTACTATGTCTTCAAGGTTTATCCCTGTTGTAGCACGTGTCAGAATGCCCTACATTTTTAATGCTGAGTAACATTCCACTGTGTATATGACCGCATTTTGTTTATCCGCTCATCCATTGATGGACACTTGGGTGGCATCCACATTTTAGCTATTATGATGGATTTTTTTGGAAGTTTCAATGCTCTTAGGTTTCAGGACTTTTCTATTAGTAATAATAGCAACAATACCGGCTAACGCTTACTGTGCGGACCAGGCACTGTGAAAAGTACTTCCCAGGCTCATTTAAGCCTCATGCCTCGGAGGAAGATACTATCATTCATCCCCATTGCACTGATGAAGAAACTGAGGCTCACACAGGTGGCCAATGGTCCGATTTCCAAGCCTGAATTCCTAGCAAATGGCCCTCTTTCCTCTCCAACGGGAAATGGCTTTCTCCTCGCACACTTTGGGGGGAAGCTCGAATCCAGCTTTACCTGGTCACAAACACAGCGGCATCCACGGGGGGCGTGTCGTCCTTCCCTCCTGGAACCTGGTTGTTGCCGAGGTACCGTGCGCCCCCATATTCCTCATTCTGCCAGTGACAGAAGCTCTCCAGGGACCGCTCTCCGTGGTGCCCAATGGACAGCTTGGCCTGAAAGAAATCAGGGGCCATTTAGAGAAGCAAAGGCCCAGGGGGGCCAGAGGCGGTGCTCAGACTGCAGTGTGGAGGTGGAGCCAGCTGCCCACTGGGTCATCATTCAGGATGCGCTTCCCCAAATGCAAACCTAACGCTGGTCGGGAGACAGAGGGCTCTACTTGTAAGTTCAAATGAAGGCGATATTAAAGAAAAGCGTTCTTATTTTTGACGAACTGAACATCACGTACCCACCAAGCATCAGGCCTTCATGGTCACCTTCATTGGGTGACTCTGCAGGAGTGTCCCGCGGGAAGGCACTCAATCAAAAGACCAGAGAACGATGCTACAGAGAATCCCAATTTGTGCCGAAGCTCAGGGAGAGCTCCAGAAGGGCGACCGTGGTTCCAGAGACCTTGCCATCATCCAGCTTCTACGTCTGAGACGCGCTGGATGAAGAAGGGAGGCGCACAGGCCCACTGCTCAGGGTTCCCTCAAAATTCTGAGCAGGTTGCGTGCACCCCAAGCTTCCGGTAACGGAACCTGCCCTCCTCTCACTGGACGTCCCTGTTCTCTGGCCCAGGGCACATGGTTGCCACCTGCAAAGCCTGGGAGGGTGGATAAGACCGACAACCCCCTGGGCTCCTTAGGAGCCAACAGTGACTAGAAGGCTTCAAGATCAGTTACAATTTCTGGCGCAGGGCGCAATGGGGACTTACGGGACGTTGTCGCAGCAGGACGAGCTTGGTGACTTGAATGTTCACTTTAATTCCAAGGCTCTGGTGCTGAAACATATTGTATACCTATAAGAGAAAAAAAAAAGAAATACAGATGTAAACATAATTTTTTAAAAAAATACAATGGTATCCTAAATGGGATCCTATAACAGAGAAGAGGTATTGGGTAAAAACTAAGGGAATCTGAAAAAACTACAGACTTTAGTTAATAATGTATCAGTATTGATTCATTAGCTACAACAAACACACTAACGTAAATTGTTAATAATGGGCGAAACTGTATGGGAACCCCTTATGTGTTCAATTTTTCTTTTTTTTTAAATATATCTTTATTGATTTCAGAGAGAGGAAAGGAGAGGGAGAGAGAGAGATAGAAACATCAATGATGAGAGAGTCATTGATCGAGCCCACAACCCGGGCATGTGCCCTGGCTGGGACTCGAACCCCAATCGCCTGGATCCTAGGTCGACGCTCAACGGCTGAGCCACGCCCGGCCGGGCTCAATTTTTCTATAAATCTAAAATATAAATGAATAAAATATAAATTCATTTATGAGTAAATCATAAAATAAGTTCTACTCATTAAAAATTATATTAATTAAAAATTAATGTTTAAAAAACAGCTTGTGCTCTTCCAGTACAAAAAAAAAAGTCTAAAGAAAGGCTAATTATATGAAATTTAAAATTTCAGGGTTCATAGTTACAGTCTTATTTGAACAAAAAAAATATATGTGTGAAAAATAAAATCTAGATAGTATTAAAAAGGCTTTCTGAGACCAAAAAACTCTCATAAATGAAATAGGATAGAAAACTCTGGAGGCACTCACACACATGTGCACACATACACATACACACAAAGCTAAGCTGGAAATCAGCTGGTTAAAAACAATGTATAGAACAGGTTATTTTGGAAAAAAAAGAGATTGATGTTAGATGATCCTGGGCTTTCACGCAGGAGGCTGAAGGGGACCTTTGTGAAGGGGAGGGAGGGGGTCACTGCCTACGGCCATCTGCCATGTCCCAGCCTGTGTCGTCTCTAACCCTCAACACAATCCGTCAAGGTTGGTATTTCCGCCGCCTTGGCTCACGGAGATGAAGCCACCTGCTCATGGCCCACAGCCAGCCGACGATCGCTCCACCTCGAAGCCCGGCTTGTCCAGCCCCCTGCAGCCCCTGAGGTGCTCATTCTAACCAAAGTTTATCACTGAGACAAAGTTACGGCAACCGAAGAAGACATGTCCNCTCACGGAGATGAAGCCACCTGCTCATGGCCCACAGCCAGCCGACGATCGCTCCACCTCAAAGCCCGGCTTGTCCAGCCCCCTGCAGCCCCTGAGGTGCTCATTCTAACCAAAGTTTATCACTGAGACAAAGTTACGGCAACCGAAGAAGACATGCCCCTCTTAGTGCTGCATTGTCTGTCGGTAGAACTTCAATATTGAAGAAATTCGGTATCAAGAAGTCAAAGGAAAGTGTTTCAAGGGGAAGAGGGAGAGAAACCCTCAGAGAATTGACATGGTTAGAAAGAAAGCCCATTGGATTTGGGGATCCCCAGGTCATCATGACCCCCCTGAATTCCTTTTCCTTAACATGGAGAAAGTGGGGGCGGGGAGGTCAGGGCGACCATGGGGGAGCTGATGAAGCTGGTGGTGTAAGGTAAAGCGGGAACAGGATTGAGAACCCCAAAAATACAGCGTTTCCCAAAAGAAAGGAATACACACTTAACAGCTGACAGCTCAACTGACGTTCCTTTTCGGGTTTAACCCACTGGAACGAATAATTATTCGAAGTGTGTATACAATTTTGGGGGACGCCCTGTGTATATATTTTTTAAGAAAGTGCATTTATTTGTTTCATTAAGTCCTGTTTTTTTCTTTCAGTTTTGTGAGATACAATGGACTTACAACACTGCATTAGTTCTAAGTGTACATCTGACGTATGAGTTTATTGTGAAATGTTTACCACAGTAAGTCTAGTCGTCACCCATCACCTCACATACTTGTAATTCTTCTTCCCGTGATGGGGGCCTTTAAGACCTACTCTGTAAGCAACTTCCAAATACACGTTACAGCACTGTTAACTATTGTCACCGTGCTGTACGTTGCGTCCCAGGCCTTATTTATTTCGTGACCGGAAGTCTGTGCCTTTTGAGCCCCTTCACCCGTTTCTCCCGCCCCCGCCCCCCACACCTCTGGACACTGCCATTCTGCCTTCTGTATCGATGAGTTTAGCTTTTTAGATCCCACATAGAAGTCAGATACACTATTTGTTCTCCTCTAACTTATCTCACTTGGTTTTGAATATTCTACTTGATTTTAGTTTTGGTTTCTGGTAGGCGTCCCAGGGACAACGTTCCTGCAGGGGCACTGGAAGCGCCTCCGGTCAGCTGCGCTCGTGGGTACGTGACGGCCACGTGAAACAAAGGCCGCAGCAGACAGCGTGGCCACAGGCCGTTCAGGCCACGAGAAGGTGGACACGGCGTCCAGCACGGGCGCGCGGTGTTGGAGCATCTGCATGACGAAGGATTTAGCTGTGTCGCTGCTTGAATTTTACCCTTTGAACCAGTATGAAAGTGAAAACAAGCTCTGTGTAATTTAATACTTTCCCGCAAGGAAAAGGAGAACACATTCAGTTGTTCTGCACCCCTCGCCCCAATTTCCTTTCCTCAATAACAAAACAGCAGTCATTTCTTACACTGGGCCAATTCTGAAGTCACATCTTAATCACCTGTCCCCAAATCTGGGTGAAGAACAGAAAAAAACACACATAACTTTCCCCCTCTTTTCATCATTGGAGAACCACCCAATGGCTGTAATTCAAAATTTTCCAGAAATATTCAGCATCAGGATTGGGCCCGGACTGGAAAACCTCAATTCGAAACATGGGAATTAGGAAGAGGGAAAACTTGAAGTTAGGAGGGAGGAAACTGGAGTTGCACAGCGTTTCGGTGCCCTCTGCAATGTCAACATCGGCCGAAGACATTAAAGAATGTTGTGGTTTAAGGGAAGAACGCGGGGGAGCGATTCTCAGTGGCAATCGGACAAGCCAAGGAGAGGGGTATCCCAGGGCGGTGCCCATTCCAGGGAGAGCAAACTGCAGGAACCCCCCTCCCCCCGTGTCGGAATCGCCCGTGTTTTGCACGCCGGGCGGGTAACGGTTCTGCGTACTCCCTACACCCCCCCAAATAGGTCAGTAGCTTCCCTGGAGCAAATGCACACACACACAAAATGTGCAATGAAGGGGGAGAAAGAGCTTCGTGCTCCAGGGGCTGGAGAGAGGAGAGACGGGGACCTGCTGTTTAATGGGCAGAGTCTGTTTTGCAAGATGACAAAATTCTAAAGGTGGGTTGCAGGACAATATAAATACACTTAGCAATACTGAACTGTACACTTAAAAATGACTAAGATGGTAAATTTTATATGTATTTTACCAATTTTTTTTTGATTAAAGCCTGCAGGAAGGCATCTCCCCTTAATGTGGCATGTCCAGGAGAGCCGGTGTGGGAGCCCAACCACAGCTAAAGTGCCTTGTCACCTGGCGTGCACTGCCCCACGTTCCCACAAAGCTCAGCAGGGCACAGGGCAGACGCACAGGACCTCCCTGGCAGCCCAGCACGCAGCAGGTCAGCCAGACGAAAATCGGACAACAGCCACAGCACGCAGGCAGCAGGCCTTGGAGACATGTAACCCAGTCTCCCGACTCTTTTTTTCCCATGGAAATTCATGCTCAGGAGAAGTCTTAGAGGCAGCGGCCATCTGATGTTTAGGGAGACACCTGGTCGGGCAGGGAACAGCGTGGCCAATCGTCTGGAAATTCGGTCTCGGGCGTCCAGCTCTGGCTGCACCCTGGCAAGTGTTCAGAGCCCTGGCTGCAGTTGTCACATTTCCTTGGCAGCCTGGGGGCCGAGCTGGGCAGACCCACTGCCAGCAGCACACTGCAGCTCTCCTGGCTGGGCGACTTGGGGACATGGCCAGGGAGGGGCAGACAGGGACCAGGAAAGGAGCAGGTGGCAGGGGCACCTGGGGAGAAGCTGTTCACATGCCAAGAGGGGTTTTCACAAGAGCACCCCCTACCTGCGTGACTCAGGGCCCCCCAGGGACAGATGGGGACTGTAAATGACACTCTGGAATCACACAGGGTGCCATTCAGACCCCACACAGGCGGGGATGTGTTCTCCAGCACAGCGCCTCTGAGGGGGTCCCTGGAGCAGCAGCCCCGGCATCGCCGGGGTAGTTGGAAAGGCACATTCTGGAGCCCACGCCAGGCCCACCAGATCAGAGACCCTGGGGTGGGCCCGGCCAGCTGCGTTTAACAAGCGCCTGGCGGCTTCCCGTAGCGGCTGCTGGGGGTGAGAACCGGCGCGTGCTCGCACACGGAGCTGTTTTCTCTGGTCACCAAAGAGAGGCTGCTTGTCTGTTTCTCATGGTAATTCAGTAAAATTGATGTCATTTTCCCTCCAAACAGAACTGGCCTGGAACGTCTCAGGGTTTCACTCCGCCCGGTGGTTGTTAAGGAAGCTAAAAACAACCAAAGCTCTGTCAAGTGGCCCCATTTTCCAGCTGGGCTGCCCAGACCCAGGGTTGCTGGTGTCAGCACCGCTGGTCCCCGTCTACAATTTGTTCTTTAAAACATTCCTGCTCCTGTGTCGCCGCCACCCCCAACCAAAGGAAAATCAAGTTATGTGTGGAAAAAAGACGCTACGGAACATTTGGAAAATCATCGAAAGCCGGGGCCACAGCACCCCCCCCCC